TTATGAGATTAGCAGAATGAACGCCAGAGTTCAGATGCTAAACATATTTTTTAAAAAACAGTGAGCTTAATGACATGAAGGAAGTTGTAGTTTAAACATCAAGGTCAATTATTTCGTTAAATATTATTTAAAAGTTCCTTGCCTTGAAACAAAACCAGAGCTATCATTTTCCCAAAAATGCAAACAGATTATACTGCCCTGTTTGTCAGCTTCACTAGATAACTTCTATTTGATCTTTAAATGAAAACAGTTTCTATTTCAGATTTATACAACAGGCTGCTCTAAAAAGAAAAAAGATCTTAAGGTTGGACTGCTGTTTACTTTCCCTTCTAATCCAGTGAGAAGATTTGCATAAGAAAAGCAAGTAGATTTGAGTCTAGCTTTTGCTGTCTACATCGAAAGCATGAGCATCATTCAGTCCTCTCTATTTATTCAGACAGAAAACGATTGTTTTGTAAGTCAGGTGAGTAGAAAATCTTTCAGTCAGTTCAACTGGGTTCTTCTAAAAGTAACTAATCAAGACTAAGTGGTGTTTAAGTAAATAATAACAGTCAAACACTGAGACTTTAAAACCTAACCCCCCCACTTGCATGTCTGTTTCCTCATACCATATACTTGGTTTAAAATAACATCCAGAACTGGTGTTTCCTGGACCTTGCAAAGCAGCCTCTTGTATTTGCAGATAGCCTTCTCTCAGTTCCTAACAGCATCAGCGTCACAGGGGGTTTCAGCGAGCAGAGCAGTGATGGGTGGTGGTGGGAGCTCTGGGTCTCAGGACCCAGCAAGTGCCCCCAGCTCCAAGTGTGACCCCTGGAGCAAACCAGTTCACTCCTCTGTGGAGTGGGAATAGGGATTCATACCTACAAGAGTGCTGTGAAGCAGAGTAGTTTTATGCGTGCAATGTACTTGAAATTTTTTTTCGTGTCTAGAAAAGCAAATTATTATTTTTTAGGAAGAGTATTGGAAGGGATATTTTGGATCATGGGCTCAAGTTCCTTGTGGGTGGTAACCACATCTCAGAAGCTGGTTCTCAAACCAGTCAAATTCCATCTTCCAGGTGCTTTGATTCCTTCCTGACTGTGGAAGGCCTTTCTGGGTCCTCCCCACTCTGGTGGAGTGAAGGTGCTTTTCTTTTTCCATCTTGAATCCCTTCCTGGACAGTTTGTACCAATTCTTTCTCATATTTTATTTGGGAGAAGGGGAGGGAAACCGTCTCACAATTTTCAGATTTATTTGAATTTTTCTCTGAGCCCCAGACACCTGGTGGAAAGACGCCAGCAATGCTGTAGGCTGGTTCGATGTACCAATAAAAATAAAATTAAATTAAAAAACCCCAACCCTCGTGTAAGAAAAGCGCCATTCTTAGAAAGCCTCCAGCGTTCCAGCTAGAGCACAAACAGCTGCTTATTTAGGACTCTTCTCGGGTAAATTCACAGCCCCGGGCCAAAGGGGCCGCAGCTCTTGTGGTCTCGCACTAGCCCAGACCCCCCCCCCCCCCCCGGTGGGGGAACACACAGGGGAGAAGGGAAAGAACGAGCAGGGAGAGGGAACCATCCTTAACCGCAGCTGAAACTTCCCCTGAGGTGGGCCGACGCTCCGCTGGGTCGAAGTGAGGAGGAGAAACCTCCGCGGGACGCGGGTGCCCGGCCGGGTTCGGCCCCGCGCCCCCCGCCCGCCCCGCCGGGCGCAGCCCCGCGGCCCCGGGCTCCGCCGCCCGGAGGAGGCAGCGGGGCTCGGCGGGAAGGGAGATCGCTGTTTTGCCCCTTGGCTCGAGTTTTCCTCTGCCCAGGGAACAAGCGCCTTTGTTGGAGCTGCGCTCCCCGGGGCTGGGGGTGATTTTTCGTTTTTTGGTTTTGACCTTTCTCCTCCGCTGCCTCCCGCAGCGGCGGCCCCGAGGGCGGACGGGGCGGCGCGCCGCCGCCTGTCCCCGGGAGAGCCTCGGGCACGAAGAGGAGCAGCCTGTGGGGCTGAAGCGGTGGCGAACGGGAGGCATTCGGGAGCACTTCGCCGGGTATGGGGCAGAGGCAGCGGTCCGTGTCCCTCGGGCAGCCCGGTCCCTGCTTCCCACTGGCGAAGGCAGTGCGTGCCCCCGTGGAAATGCGGTGAGGCAGCGGCTCCCTGCCGGCACGCGGGGCACGGGCTGCTGCGGAGGGGCGCGGGCGGGAGACACGGCCAGGTGTGCCATCGGGAAATACCACCTCCAGCCACGGATCGAAGAGCTTCCAGGCCATAGCTGCACGGCTCGACAGGGGAGCAAAGAGCCCGTTCCCATTCCCCCTTCGACAACTACAGCCCACGCAGCCTCCAAACCCATTAATGCTGAAGCAGCAGCCACCAAACACTCTCGAAAAGACCCGGCCGGACCTCTGAAACCCCCAAAAAAACCGAACACCAAAGTGGAAGCGAGCCAACAGGCCCACCGACGAGCCCCCCCGAAACGGGGGGCGAGCCTGTCGGCGCCGCCAGCACAGGCGCAACGCTGCCAGCCCGTGGCTGGCCGCAGGGGGCCCGGCGCCCGGGGGACCACCCTCACCCTGGGACACCGACTGCTGGTTCCTAATTCCTACGAATTCAACCACATTCCCCCAGGGATAACAGGGGCGGGATGGGGTTTAACCCCCGAGTACAATTGCAGTGAAACCACAAGGAAACAGACGCAGGTGAAGGGCAGGGCGCGCTCGTTGCCGCGTTGCTGCCGCAAAACTTGCGGGGGCTCGGGGCGCCTCACACAGGGACGGGCAGTAAAGGGAGAGCCTCGCCCGAGGGCTCCGAGCGCGGAGAGAGGAGCCGAAGAAAACGGGCTTTTCCCGGGAAGCGGGGGCGGGAGCGGCCGGCTGTGCGGGATCAGCCCCCGGTGCGCACCTTCCGCCCCTGCGCAGCTCCGCGGGGACCTGCACGGCTTTTACACGGGCGATCGCGCCTGGCCGGCTCACATCGAGCAAGAGCCTTTCCGGGAACAGGCTACTAAGAGCAGCGAGAGCAGGAGGGGGAGGGTGGGTATGAAATAAAAGGCTAAAGAAACAGTGCGATTTTGGGACCAGGACCAAATCCTAACGTGTTACATAAAAGCCACGGGCGGTTCTTATCAGCAAGCCCGGCCTGAAGAGGAACAATCCCTAGGACCGGCTCCAAAACAACCCTGTTAAAGGAACAATTGTGAAATGCCAACTTCCCACCAGAGTACGAACAGCAGGAGCCGGGCATGTCCTGTCTATAACCGGGCTTCTGACAACCGACAGAGAGGGGAGGGGACGGAGGGGATCCTCTCTTGACAAGATTTATCAAGAAACATTTAACTGGGCTTTAATCATATTAGCAAGAGCCCAATTAGGGCTGAGAGCGAAGCGAGGCTGGGGAGAGGAGGAGGAGCAAGCGATGGAGTCACTCGAGGATAAAGTCCTTTCATCAGGCTGCGCTCTCGGCAAACAGAGGAGTGCGAATAATCAGTGCCCTTCACTGGGGGGACGGGGGAGGGAGCGGCTGGGGAATGTGTGTAAAGGATCATTAAGGCCAGGCAGAAGGGGGTTTTTGTTGTTGTTGTTGTTTTTAATTATTACGGCTATTAAGGTGGTGTCTGTGGGCTCCCTCGGGCGCTGTTCTCAAAGACGGAGCGGGGAAGAAGCGAAGGGGCTCGGAGGCACCTGCTGCTGTGCGATGACCTGATCAGCGTGTGCGGATAGGTCTCTCCCTCCCGGAGCAAAGAGGGGCTCCGTCCCTCCCACCCGACCTCACATCACCGAGGGAGAATTTCCTTAAAAGCCCTTTCCCCGGCTCTCGTCTCTCTGATGTCGAGCTCTTCCCCGGCGCATCCTACCTCCCAGCGCGACTCCTCGGGGGTAGCGCGGCGCCTCACCGCCCTCGGCGGAGCCCAGTCTGGTGCCCAGGGCTCGTCGCAAGCCCCGCGGAAAGCGCGGCGCTGGGAACGCCCGGGTCAGGGGCAGAGGGCAGAAGATGTCCTCCCGGGGTTCAAACTCTCCGTGCTTTCGCGTGGGCAACCTGCCCTGTCCTCAGGGACTCGGTTGCTCCAGCTGTAGGGGATGGGGTGGGCGGACAGCAAAGAAATGAAGAAAAACTAGAGATGACAGGTGGGAGCAAAGGAAGAGGCTGTGGATAAGCCCATGAACCCCCCTCCCCGGGTTACGCCACTTCGGGACACGGCGGTGGGAGCGCGGCAGCGGCCGTGACCCTGCCTTGCGGCTTTCGAGACAGCGCCAGCAGCTGCCGGCAGCTACCCCGATTTCCTGCCGCTCCCCGCGGCCAGGAGAAGGGAGATAAGGCTGTTGGGCAACGAGGCACCTTTCGCCCAAGAAGAGCCGGATCTTTGCGCCGCGGGGCAGAGGATGCTGTCTTTTTTTAACAGGACCGGGCCCCGGTGGGGTTTGCCATTCGCACCGACGAGCACCCCCGCTGTCGGAAGCCATCTGCCCCGTGCCTGGAGCGGAGAAGCTTTCGCCCCCTACGCCTCCCCCTCTCCCTCCTCCCCTCGCCCTGGGCCGCCCCAGCCACGTCCTCGGGGACGCGCGGCCCTGGGGGCAGCGCCTCCTCCCGCACCGTGCCCTTTGCGTGACCGTGCCCCCGCCGCACCTTCCCTGTCCCACGCTTACCTTTCCGGCCCGGCCGCCGAGGGGCTGCCCCCCCGCTCCCGCCCCCCGCCCCGTCTCCGCCATCCCCGCCGCAGGGGTGTCGCACGCCGCCGCGCCGGCACAGCCTCGGCTCTCGCCTTGCGCGCACCCGGCTGGCGCTGGCAGCCCCGCCGGGTTCATCCGAGGACAGCGGCGGCTCCGCGCCGCGGCTCGTCTGGCTGCCAACGCCGCGGCGAGGCTGACGCTGCCGCGGCCGGGGGTGACTCACGGCGGCAGCCGCCGGGTAGCGGATCCGACAGTCGAGCGGCGAGCGGGCACATCGCGGCCCCGCTCTTCGCCCCTTTCCCCGGGCACCGCGTGCCCCCCGTCGCACCCATGCCCCTTGCCCGACCCCCTCCGCTTCTGCCAAGTGGAATAAACGCCCGGGTTTCCGGCAAATATTCACCCTTCCGACACCGAACGGGAGGCCGCCCCCCTCCCGGCCGGCACCCCTCTCGCAGGCGGGCCGGGGTCCGTCCCCGCGGCCGGCAGCGCTCCTGGCGGCACCGGCCCCCAACGTAAGTGACCGTCGGGGCCGGGAGGGGGTGGCCGTCCCTCGCGGCCCGTGCCCGGCGGGGCTGAGCTCCGGCGCCAGGGCTTGGGCGGGGGCCGGGCCGGGCCGACCCCCGGCCGTGGCCCCGAGCGCAGCCCGGCCATGTGCCCCGCGCTGTCCCCGAGGCGCGTCCGGCGTGTGCCCCGGGGACAGCCGCCCGCACACGGACAAAGGCAAACACAGGACCTGAACGCGGGGCGGGAGGGGACGCGGGGCACAGACCGGGACAGGGACTCGGCGTCCGAGTGACGGGCAGCGCCGGTGTCCTCACCGGCGTGCTCTGCCCTCTGCGGCAAACACGCGGCAGGGTTTTAGCTGCCCGTGGTTTCCATGGAGCCCTCCTGGCACGTCCCAGCAAAAACGTATGGCGGATGTCTTCATGGCGAGCCTGCAGTGGGTCTCCCACTTTTTCTCAGAGCTTCCAGGTGGAGTGCACCAGCAGTGCTTTTGAGAAACATGTTTTGTGCATGACATCCCTGTTTTGAAACAGAATTTTGAAGCAAAGCTGTAGCAACACACATCTTTCAGTCCAAGCTGTCTGCTGGGTGCACAATTTTAAAAGCAGTGGCTCCCTGAAATGAGGAATTGTTAAAACCTCATGTATTAAGATGCTGAAGCCACAAAGATAATGGTAATGAGTGCTACATATTCTGCATACACGCTCAAGTTTTGGATATAGGATGAAGGCATGAAGTCGGGCCTGTACTTAAAAATACTCTAAAGCTACTTGTCAGAAATCTGCTGAAATAATAACCATGGATTTAGTGGCATGGATTATGCTGTCAGTCCTTCAACCTTAAGTTCATTTTTAAGTCCAAATTTCAGTTCCTTGAGAAAAGATAGGCGGAGGAGGAGGAGGAGGAGGAAGAGACTACTATAATTGAAATGCTGACATTGCTAACCATGGCAGTGTGAATTCACTACTATAATAAAACCTCAGCTAGCAGCCTAATTCCAGAGAGGTGATGTTATCCAGTAATAATGTAATCAGTTTGTTGGCTGCAACATAGGAAACTGGGAATTACTTTATTTTATTGATTTTTTTTGGCCAAAATGTAAAAAAACCCCAAAATCTATAAGATGCCAGGATTGAGTCAAGAAAGCTACCTTTGCTTTTAAAAATAATAAACCAAAGTTCTTCATGAACATTTTTCACTTCAGTGCAGTTTTACAAAAGCATACTTAAAAAGGGGCAGCTAGTGAGAATACAAGCTTTCAAGCCAGGAATTGGAAGACAGAAAGGCCCAAGGGTGTAACATTGTTAAAAGTGAGAGGTCCTGAAAGCACAATGTTCACTTTACAAAATAGAAGTTTTCTCCTGGGTAATCGTTGAATGAGTTCGCATTGATTTGCAGCTGTGAATTTAAAGGGAAAAAGGAGAAAGAAAATAAATGAAGAAGACAAATGCCTTGTTAGTAAATTGTGATGCAACAATTAAGAAATTAGTATCAGATATATGAAAAATTGGAATTGTCTGCTTAAGCAGTTGAGTTTATATATTCAGAATTCTCCATCCCTCATATCTTATTTTTAAGGAGTAAATATTCTGATATTTTTCTAGGCATCTGGCTCTCAAATGACAACAGCAGAAGTGAATTAACTTGTAAGGTGCATGTACCAGTGGAACCATATTAGTGAAATCTTCCAGAGAGGGTTAGTCAGTGTTAGTGAGGTCAGAATTTCAGCCACTGTAAAGGTTCTGTTGTTGCAAGGATAGAACATATTATACCTCTAATTCAGATTTAGATTTTGCTGTTGCTCTTGACAGTGTTCTGCCTGTTTAACCTTAATCAAAATTCACGGTGGTCAGTGGGACTCTTTGGGTTGGGGCCATGAATTCTTTGAAGGAGCAAATCTTGAGTTTCTCCATGTTGCTAGGAAGCCTAGTAGTACCAAGACAAAGACGTATGAAAGTATGTGAAGACAATGAAAACAAAGTAATGAGTATAGCCAAATCATAACTGCCATTTTAATAGAGTGGCTTGTAAATAACAGAGCCCTACAAGAATACTTGGGTGTGTCTGAGTCAACCCATTTTGAAAACCCTATGATATGCAGCTGCAGAAATGACACAAATTCTTGAAAAACAAAACTTGAAATTTCTTGAAAATCATGTTTCCAAATACAAGTGCTGTTCTGCATATAGATATATCACGTTGTCCAGTAACTCTTACAAAGCAGGCTAAAACTGCTACAGTGACTACCTTAAGGCAACATTAACCCTCTTTTAAAACTTGCATTAACAAAACATTATTATATGTATTACAGTAATTTGTGAATGTGTGTATTCTGGGCTGTGGAAAATCAGTGGTTGACATTCACAGTCAGGCTTACACCCAAAAACATACAAGTTAATTTGCACTACATGGCCATTGGCTCTACAGAGTAATGAATTGGAAAAGGTATTTTGAGATTATTTTCCAAAGCTGTCCTATAGATGTGATATAATGATAGTTGTTTTGGCTTTATTGTAGAAGATGATACCAGCTTGTGACTACTGACTGGGTGTGAAATAAAACATTATGGCTATATGCATTGGATGTGGTATGTCAGCAGTCATACAGGGTACTAATGGAAGCCTTGTGAATTAGTTCTGTAAAAAGATTCAAGCGACAATTAATTACTATTTCTCTCAAATACAAAATGAGAGAGCATTGAAAAATTAATTGAGAAAATTTATGTATTGATATGAAGCATGGTAGTTTGGGTGCCAGCAGCCACACAGGAAATTTCCAAACCACTAACTGGTGGCAATTTTGAGAACTTAACAGGTTAGCTTGCAAACAGTGTTTTCGGTTTGGGTTTTTTTTGTCATTAGGCCATGACAGAGAGATTACACTAGCCCAACAGAGACATTTTTGCTTCCTTGGTGCATTGTTCTTGAAGTCTTACCTCCTTCATCCTTGCTCACAATTGCTTAGTTTTTAATTTTTGATACAAAATGTCACCTTTTTAATTGAGGGATTGAGTGTGATAGTGTGGTGGTAGGTCCTCATGTCTACAGGAGGCAAAGAAGCAAGTGAAAGAGGAAAATGGAAAGAAGAGGGAGTTTGGAGGGCACAGAAGGAAGATAGGAAATGTGGGGCTTGCATTGGAATGACTGGTGATGGGATGAGACAGGACGAGACCAGACCACTGACTGTGGAGACAGCTGTGTTCAGAGTTTGTTATTTGATCAAACTACTACTTATTTAACATGCCCTGCATTTCTCAGTGGGGATACAGCTTGGAATCTGTGTGAAATGGTGAAAGATTGAGAAAGTAAGGACAGAATGAAAAAGCAAGAGACAATTCCCTAATTTGTTTCTTTTGCATTTCTAAAGCCTGCCTAGCCCACACATCGGGTAGGGTATGCTTAGAATCTTGGAAAAAAAATAAGCTGCAGCTTGAACAAAGTTGGAAATAAATTCCAGTAATTTTAAGGATGATAAAAAATATCTGACTGCTTTTTCTCCCTCCTCCCTCCAGAAGGTCCAACAAAATCATCCACCCCATGGCAAATGCCTGACAACAACATGGTATGTGTATCTACTCTGAAATCAGAGTTCAGGGTATATATATGTAACTGCAACTCATATTTTGTCCTTCTGATATTGTTTACCTGGAACTTTCACGCTGCCATATTTTTTACTTTCTTTTTCACTCAATTTTCTTCTTTGCTTTTGGGACAGAAAATCCCTTACGCAGTGTGGTCCAGGTCATACTGAACCATGGATGTCTCATACAGAGCAGTATCTTATTCCACACATGACTTACTCTTGTTTCAGAAGTAGGGTGAGTAATAGGTGCTGGAATTTAGCTCTATACTGCATTTTGCATCTGGGCTTTCTGTAATAGGTTCATGAAGTTCACAGACTACTGCTAGTAATTTCTTAATTTTTCTACCTCCCATTCCTGCCTTCCCCCCCGCATTTCTCCAGAGTCTTTATGTGGTCCTGGAGGACTTTACAACTTTGCAAAATGATGCAGAACTATATCAAAACGCTCCAAGCATGGCATAAGCACACAGAGTGCATTTGTGCTGCAGAAATACCAGGTTTTGACTGGGCATGATTGCATGTAGCCGTAGGGCTGTGGGTCAGCATTTCATCTTTACCAGCAGAAAGGTTTGCAGTGACTGCATGTCTTAGGGATGTCCTCAATGTGCCTAGAAGGCAAGCAGTGCTGGACTATTTACATTGCAAGTGGGATGATTTAGATGGTACCCTGCAACGTCATCCCTGGATGCACAGAGGGAAAACTGATATGCCTGTGATGCTCTCAAGTACATTCTATACGCCTCCAAGTACAAGGGCAATTTTGAATTTAGAACGAAGCTCTCCAATGTGCTAAGCTGCTGATGTAGCACTTGCAGTGAGAAATATACTGGTCCAGATAGAACTCTTGGGAGTACATTCAGGTCAGACAAAGAGGGTCTCAGAATGAGATGCAAAACAAACAAACAAGCAAACAAACAAACAGACGTGTTCAAACACACAAACAACTTATTATTTGATCTGGAAACAGAACAGAGGTGTTGCCTGTAGCTGCACTTTGTTCAAACTTCATTTGGGCTTGTGATGTAACTTTAGTTAGTGTTAGTCTACCCAGCCCATGTCAGACTCTGGACTGTGGGTTTTCTTACTGATGATTCTGCAGCCTCTCAGGCTCCTGGGGCTCCTGTGCAAGGGTCTGTTTGCTCAGAGATACCTATTCAGTACAAAGAGGTGGTGACAGAAGTTGCTGTTAATTGTTGCTGTATGGTTGAAGGTTGGGGGTTGCTGTGCAAACAAGTCTCCTCTGCTCTGCTCCAGTTGAAAGTTAAGCCAACTAGATGAAATAAGGAAAAAGTGTTAATGCAGCTAGTGCTAGATCTCAAAAGAATAGAGAAAAGGAGGAAGGTAACCAAAGTTCAGACACAGAAGGTGAGTCCAGTCTTGTGTCTTGAGAAGACTGAGTCCAGTCTTGTGTCCCAATAAACAGGTC